CCGGCTTCATTTACACAAGTGAGAACCTGATCGAGACCACGCTCTTGTGCCCACATGTATTGCAAAACGACAAGTAGAGCGATTCACGGCGCCTCTGCTAGGTTCGGGATCTGTCTCCTCACCAAGCACGAAGGTGGACAGCTTTCTGTGCACATGTTGCAAGGGTATTGCGTACCAGACACAGCCTGTGCGTATGTATGCGCGGCTGACGGTTCAACCTTCGATGCCCAACTTCTTAAAGCGTCTTCGTGCTCTGAAAGGGTGTCCTGCCTTTGCAGTCTTTGCAGTGCAGGGATCCTTGGCCTAAACGATATTTGCTGTCGCAGGCATCTCTGTGACGCGGTTTGCATCGCAGCAGAAGGTTTGTGTGTCACACCTCCAGCTCAAGAGCTGGTAGGCTTGGCCGCATGTAAAGGGACGTCAAAGAGACGCCCTTTGACGTTGTACCGCTAGCTCCGCGCTGTCGAGCGATGAATACTTTTTTTATCAGCCGGGCGGGCCCTTCTGGCGATGGATGAGAGCAGCATGGAAGGCAATAGAAGAACATTGCGGCGCGTTGGAAGTAAGCCAGACGAGCTTGGTCAGGAGCAGAAGCAGAAAGTAAAAACTCCCACGGCGGCATGGAAACCTCCGAGGCTTGGGCCGCATGTACCCTCCGTGCTTCAAAGGCCCCAGAACCATCGGAACCCGACAGAGCCCGATACTCCCAAAAACCTACAGAGCCAAAACCCTGTAAGGGTCCAAGCCCGCGTCTGGGAAGCAAGGAGGAGCACACATGGTTTCACCCGGCAACACCTCAAGCGAGAGGTGCCTGCCAAAACAGCTTCAAGTTAAACCTCCTCATCTTAGTGCTGGCGTACTTCTGCATGTTTCAAGCGCCAATTGGTGTTTTTGGAGCTTGATATCATCGTTCGACATGATGAAGCCCCTGCAGAGACTTGTCGCCTTTGTTGTCTCGCTTCCGGGGAAAAAGGTTCGATTGCAAGTCCTTGACCAGTTCACAGGCGCTCCACAGTCTGCATGATTTGATAACATTTGTAGATGAGTCAGTAGATCAATACTTTTTTGTGTTAAAGTATCCTTCTTGGAACATTTGAATGAGATTATTTGCAGGCGCCGGACTCGAAAAAGTAGAGAGAGAGAGGGCAATTGAGTCAAGCCTGCCATGGGCGATCCTGCTACCTCTTTCGAGGCCTGGCAAGACGTTTACATCAAATATATTTAATCGCGCCCGCAGTGTGCTCTTCTCACAACCTTGCGCAGGAAGATGACGATGAGAGGCCTGGTCGTCATGTGATCCAATGTGGTGAGCACAAACATTACTGTAGATTCGCTTTGCCGATAATCCGAGAAGATTCACGTGCAATATGCAGTCGATGGCTCAAGCAGTGTTGTGTCCCAGAAAAGCATGAACACGTCACAGAGCAAGTCAGAATTCTTCTCCAAGATTTCTCATCTCAACCTTACCAGCAGACATGCAGGGCATGTGGATGGTTGCTGCGAGCCTTCTGTGGGGCTCACCCACAAAAGCTCACCTTCCGGGAGAGGTTCGGCCATTTGAGTGGCTAAAGGATTTGCCAAATGCAACCAGGGCCGGTGAAGATCTCCTTCCGCGCTCCTTGGGATGTGGAACATCCAGGAAGAGTTGGGCAGACGTGGGAGCCAAAAACAAGAACGTGGAAGGTGAGGATTTTGAAGGTTGGGTTCCTTTGACGCTCATGGATTTCATGCCAGTGAATCGCTCCTTCTACATCCAAGTGCCCAAAGGTGTGGGCCAGAGCTGGCCTGTGCCGCTGCTCATAGCTCTTCACTCACAGGGAGACCAAGCTGATGATTTTGCTGCCTCTCGCTATTTTGGAACTCTTGGAAAGACATTGGGTTTTGTCAGTGTCTACCCACAAGGATTAGATGATGCTGTTCCTGGAGGTGGTGACTTGGGAACAGGCTGGAATGTCGGGACCGCAGGTGATGAGCAGACCTGCATCAAGGATGAAGTCGCCACAGATTGCTACGCCTCTTGCTGGGAGCAAGGCAAATGTGGAAGTTGCAATTGGTCTGGCTGCTACGATGAGCGACTGTTCGTGTACTCCGTGATCGAAGCTGTGAGTTCAGTCCTTTGCATTGACCCTTCTCGTGTCTATGTGACAGGTGAAAGCAATGGTGGCATGTTGGCGCACTATTTGGTTCAGTCTCTCCCTGGCACATTTGCGGCAGTAGTCCCTTGGTATGGTCTTCCTTTGCTGGGTTATGGTTTGGGTGCCGAGTTCGAGCTGGTGCGGGACACGAAAAACTGCCGACAAACGGCTATGCTGCAGCTGCATGGAAGACAAGATGACATCATGCCGCCTCAAGGTGGTGTTTCTGGAGGCTTTATGCCAGGATGGATCTACGAGCCATTAAACAAGGTGCAGCAAGGCTGGGCGGCGGTTCACGAGTGTGACACCGTCGCTTCAGAAGCCAGAAGCTACTGGGATGGCGGCAAGCAGAACTTCCGATGCTTTGACTACAAGGGTTGCTCCAGCGGTCGGCGTATCATGCGCTGCTTCTATGATGGTGGTCACGGTGATGTTCCGGGTGATGGTGTGGCAGACCAGATTACGGTTTGGTTCCTTCTGCAATATCATTTAGACACCATGTCGCTGGGAGAAAAGAACCAGCTACTTTCTAGGAAGCCCGTTGGAGCTCGTCAAACCTTTGTTTGAGAGACCGGGTGGAGCGTTGTACAAATTTTGAAAGGCTGTCTGAACTGCTGTCGCAAGTACAAGAACAGTGTAGTTGCAAGGCTTTTGCTGGTTCGTTAAGGCAGTTCAGCTTTCGAGTGTGATCACGAGTGTCACCAGACCAATCGTCCCAGGCTGAACCTGAAAGAAAATCTTACAAGTGGGTTTTTACCAGCCTCCCGGGTTGTCACATTCCCACCTCCAAGCATGTTTTTTTCACTTGCCTTGGTCCAGGATTTCTTCACTTCCAGGCAGTGCGTGGAGGTTCCCGCCTCAATGGGTCGAACTTGTGAAGAAGTGCTTCGAGGCAGTGATCCATCCACCAGTAGTGTTGGTCTCCTATGTCTCTTTCAGGACTCCGGTGATTTGAGCCGAACACACATGTGGGAAAGGAGCCTTTCTGGGTCGGCGTTTTTGGCCGTTTTGGAGTCGATCTATGTGGCAGATGTGGATGGCTTGACGCCAGGACTGACATCCAAGACCAGTTGATGCTTTTTGTTCGGGCCCTAGCAAATGCTTCGGCAGAACTTTGAGGGTCCGTCAATGTTTGAGAGATGATCAGAGAGATCCTCACTTCCGAATGGTTTTCCAAACTGCAAATGAGGAGCCTGGGACACTTTTCTACTCTGTGGTTCCACGAGGGGTGGATTAAAGGATCCACAAGGTGCTGCAGCCTGCCTTTTCGGTGCTCCGCCTGCCAGTTCTTGTGCAGGTCTGTGGACAGCTGTATATTTGTTGCAGTGTAGTTTGAACAGTTTGAATGTATTGGTTGGCTGATGACTGCTCCCTGTGCCAGCACATCCACCGAGAAGATCATTCAGGACGTTCTTTCGCTTAGTTCTGCATCATATCCCTTGACACGAATATTGTGTATCTTGAGCCTTGAACCTTAGTCGTTGGTGTGGTCTGAGGCTCTGCTTTGCTACTCATGGCGCGGGCCATTCTGAAACGGTGTGGCTCGCAGGCAGCTTCCTGTTGCTGCATGCTGTCGGGGTAGAGTCGCAGGCTGGAGTCCACGGCACAGTCTACCTTTGCTAGTCAAATGTGTACTCTGAGAACGACAACTTGTAATGACCATCACCATCCCATATTTCTTCCCGTCGGTCTCTTGCAGATGCTTTTTTGATGTGCTGTTATTTATTTCGAGGCGAGTGGATGGCTGCGGCTTTATGTCTCACATTTCCCGTCACTCGCTTGGAAATAGCAAGACTCGCAACATCCATTGTCATGTCAGGTGTATTTCCTGCATGGCGGTGATATGCCAGGCCGTCGAAGCAACCACATGCATTCAGACGTGACACACTGACACCATCTGACACCCATTTCTCAGCGAGCCCCATTTCTTCGGCACAGTTCATTCGCGCCCTAAACCCTAAACCCTAAACCCTAAACTTGTCCAGGATCCTCTGAAGCTTCCTGTGGAAATGGGATTCGTCGAAGCAGCGCGTTTGTGAAAGCCTCACAGGCTTGTTTGTTTCTTTGGCTGCTATGACTTTTCCGCAGCGGCACAATGCGTAACCTCTTTCCAGGTCAAGAGAGTGTTCTTTCATCAATCCGGAGAAGAAGTCAAGCGCAAATGTGCGATTCTCATAGCCCGCCGCATCGTGACAGCTGTTCTTCGTGTTTCGCACCACCTTCTGGCAGAGGTTTTTTCAGCTCCCTCGCGGACGCAGGCGAGAGCATACGGCACGGTCGAAACATTCGAAGCAACAAACCGCACCAGGAGGAGTAGAACGCCTCTGACGCAGTGGATACACAGAGCCTTCCGGCTTGTCCCTGATTTTGCTCAAGCGTTTCACTTGGAATCTTTTCAAGATGAGATACAATCTTTTGGCGACTTTGATCGATTTCGGCAGGATCTGCAGGCTGATTTGGTTAGTTCTAGTCCTGGTTGTGTTTGCTCTGAAGAGTCTGCAAGAGTCGCTCCGGCCTCCGAAGCCTACCTTCCGCTTTCATGGGCAGTGACAAAGTCAAATGCCTGAAGAGAGAGGGATTGCATGTGACCATTTTGCATCCTCTCTTTTAACTAGATTCGATTCCAGAGCAAAAGGTTGGAGCGTGTGTGGACGTAACGGTGACAAGTGAACCACACTTTGCGAGCGAGTCGCCCGTGCATCATCCCACGTCATGCCATGAAACCCTAAACCCTAAGCCAAAAAACCCTATTCCTGCAGACATTTTGAATCAAGTCCGACAGCTCGATGGCACATTTGTTGACCCAGGACCGGTTTTTCCAGTTCAGATCCAAGGCTCACCTGGGCTCCTGTTGGCTCGCAGGCCATGGCTGGAGGGAACGCAGCATCACAGCCATTCAACATGGAGGCCGGAAGTGGAGGCTGTGGAGTTTGTTTAAGTGCTACCTGAAAGCGTCGTTCTGCACATTTCAATGTTCTCCGACCATGGTGAGGCCAAGTCCAATGATGCAAAGAGCAACAAGAAGGCCGTTTATCTTGCCGGTAGTGGCAGCTGTCGGCTGGCCTATACGAATCTCAAAAGTGCATTTGCAGTCAGAATTGCAGGGTCCGATGTAAACATGGTATTTGACTAGCGTCGGACAGCCGCAGGCTCTCAACACAGGGGAGAAGCTGCGAAATGAAGCAACAAAGAGATGCAACAATGCGGGCGAACAATGACAGAGCTCCAAAGGGCAAAGACCATTTTGCCAAACAAAACTATATAAAAGCATGAGAAAGACACATGTCCTTTCTTGCAGACGCTTCAGTCTTTGCCTCACTGCAAAGCACTGTTGAAGCAAGCTGAGGCACCAACTATCAATAGCCCAAACATTCACCATGCTTGACATGGCTTCAGTTTGACAAGAAATGATCAAGACAAAATCACATGCGCCGTAAAATCGATACATGTAGAATCACTTCGCTGTTGGTGATTTCTTCAACAAACCTTCGCCCACAAGCTTTGCACCCACAGCCTGATCATTTCCTTTGACAAATCTGCTTGAGAATGCTGGAAGGACAATTCAGGGTTCCCTATTCGAAGACTTAAACACGACTGACACGCAAAAACATAAGCACTGTAATTAGAGGGCTGTGAAAATACCGTGAAAGTGTAGTCAAACAGATAAGAGTTTTTTTGACCATTCCACAGCCGAAAATGTAATGTGATGCCTTTGAAAAGTGGAACTCTTTTGAGCGGAAAGTCGCTGGTCTGCGCAAAGTGGTCGGTGCTTCTTCAAGAAAATCCTCACGAAAAAAAAGCCCTGCTGCTGCGAGGTCTGCTGGTGGTCTGCTGGTGGTCTGCTGCTGCTGAACGCGCAAGCGGCACCTTGAGTGAGAGGGATCGCAAGGACGAGTGGCCTGTTTTCCATTCCAGTGCCCCTGGAAACTTTGGCTTGCACTTTTGTTGGAGTCCCTCGAACTCATCGGGATCCGCACACGAATTGTGGAAGGTTTAAATTGCCTTGACAGCCCTTCTGTCCGATGCTTCTAGCCCTTCTTGTGATAGAAGCACCCAAACCGCGTACACCGTTTGAGTGCCTAAAGACAGTTTTCTCACAGATGGAGTGCCCCACCACTCTGTTTTCTCACGCTCAGCCTGCCTGACACCTACTGAGCACTTTCAGCCTGTGCAGAGAAAGCAAGGCTCTGTTGTCGCCAGCGTTATGAAGCTTTGCACTCGAAGAGTCAGGCTGCTACCACACTTCTCGGTGGCGCGGCAACCTTTTTTCTTGAAATGTCGAGAAATCAGCTTTTTTTGTCAAAACTCGAAAAGCGAAACATTAAACACCTGACCTTTTGCACCAAGTGCCAAAAGTTGTTGTTCCTGGCAGGACGACACATTTTGCAAACACTTTTTGATATTCGGCGAAAAGGTCCCTAAAGCCCCTGGTTTTCGCACGAATCGTGGGCTCGCGAATTGCCACCTAAGCCTTAGCATATGGATGCATACATGTTTTGTATACGTGTAGTTCATTTTAATTAATTCATCATTTGGCTTCTTCACAGGCGCTCACAGACTCAGGAGCAAGGTTAAGATCCTTTCAAACGTGCAGTGGCAGGCCGCCGGGAAAGCCCATGCGAAGACAGCAGGAGGGGGACCAACATCCAGTGACAGTTTTTGGACTTCCAGAGTCCAGCGGTTACAGAGGTTCCAGGCTTTTGATTCAAAAGGATGAAGTCAGCAAGTCGTCAGGAGGCGATATGGAAACCTGGAGCGTGCTTGCAGGAGCTGGAGCGCACTTTATGCCCCCACAGGCGCCCAAGACGGTGGCACACGGCTGTGTTGGCAGCTGAAATCTGCACCGAGGCGCAAGTGTTGCAGACAGTTCAGGCTTGATCCCTGGTTTAAGGGCGACCATCACCGACATGACATCACCAATCTGGCACTTGCATTGGCCCCTTCTAAGGTCCCTCGCCGTTTTCCTGGCCACTTCATGCCTCACAGGACCCGGCCTGAGACAGATCTTGACCAGAAGAGGATCCCAGATATCCGGGGTTCATTTGATTCTGAGATATTGATATTGCATGCTCCAACTCGAATCTGCCAATTGAGGTTGTGCAATCACTGGAATCTGCAGGGATGGTGCAAGAAAGCAGAGGCTGCAGTCAAGCAGATTTTCCAGTGCAGTAGAAAGTAACTAAAACCCTTGGGCCAGGGGTAACTGGGGTCTATCTATCTCTCCTGAGCTATATTCGGCCGCCATTCGTCAGTCATCTCACAGCTCTGTGGCACGCATTTGTTCGTCAGACCTGCACCTTTGCCCATGGAATCCAAGAGCTGCACCCGGATGCCCGGCCCAGAGATTTTCGCAGCTCGGCCCAGAGGGCCCCTTCTTCAGCCAAGCGTCACGCAGCTAAGGTTCAGGCTCAGCTTTTGCAGCAGAAGCCCAGACCTCAAGGATCAAGCGGTCGCATGTTCACTGGCTTTTGGGTTCACAGAGGTCGTGCCAATTGGATGGTGTAGGCGCTTGTTTCTCTCGTAGGCCTGGCATGCCACCGCCGTCTGTGACAAAAGATGGCTGGCGCCTTGTACAAAGCACTCAGTCCAGTACTGGCGGAGCCTTGAAGTTACCTTTAATACATCAAGTTGTGCGGCTCAGCACATCACCGTTGGCCAATCGATGCGAGGGTCAGAATGATTGATGGATTTGTGTTTCTCCACGTTGCTTCTTTGAGGTCGACTGGTGGCCGACAGCTTAATTTTGTGTTCCGAAAGCCTTTGATTGCGGTTTTGAAGATTATTAGTGTTTCTAAACTGCAAAAAAAAAATATATATATATATATATATATATACATGGGAAGTGTAACGCTCTTCCAGCGCTCTGATGCTGACAGTCTTTTTCAAAATCACGGTGTGTGACTCCAATGATTGCTGGTCAGGTTGGGCCAGACAGAGCCAATCTCCACCTAAAGGGGGGTTTGAAAAATCCGTCTAGCCTTGGCAAGCACCGCCGGTGTCAGATCACCGTCCTGCAGTCCAACTGGGTCACACAGATGCCACTAGAGCCATGGTGATGGATGCAAACCAAGGTGCATGGTGTCTCGAAGCCGGCAGGGAAGGCTGGTTGGAGCTTGGGGGGGACATCCTGCGCACATTGACATGCTGCCCATGCAGGTTGAATCAGTTGGCCAGTTCCTGAGGATTCTGTAGATGGCTTTTTTGTGCTCGGCAAGTACTCGTAGTGAACTTTTTCTGGAGGGTTCGCACAGGTTATCCCATGCCAATGCCCGACGTGTATGGCAGCACGAACCTCTTGGGCTCAGGTCAGCTTCTTTTTTGGCTGAGAGAACTGTGAGACTCAGCGAGACCTGTAAAGCCTTCTGAACACCGCGCGACCACCACGCCACTACGCCTCGTGGTGCGCGAACACCTGGCGCAGGTCTTCTGAACACGAATTTTGGCTTCGACCTCACAGGTGTGGGTGCGGATGGTGCGGGGTGTGGCCGTTGAAGCACTCAGCCGGTCTGGGAGGCACACAGATTCCGCCCCCAACGGCCGCCATGCAGCTGAATGAGCTGCCAGAGCTGAAGGAGCCTTCAGTGACAGATCCATCAGCTGAGGATGAAACGGTGTCAAACCATGTGAAACTGCAGTAGGAGCAATGGAGGAACATGTTTGATCAGCCTTTGGTTGACCTTGCTTGGTGCAGGAGACTGCAGACGACGCCCAGGCTTGCTTCTTGTGCATGTAATCGTAATACCTAGATTCCTTGATCAAACAGAACAATAGAGATCATGCCATTAGATCAACGAGACCACACCAAAGGTGATCGCACTTCCCTGGGGTCACTTAGAAGGTCATCCATATCATGCGCTGCCAGCCAAAACTACCAGTATGTTTCTTTCGTTTTCCCTTCTTCATCTTGGGACATCAATTCTTTTTTTTGCACCTGCTTCTTTTGACGCAGGAGCCAGCACGAGCACGTTCCACATCTCCAGGCAGGCACCTTTGGGCAATGTTCAAGTGTTGTAAGCTGTTGGCGAGGCACCCCCAGCAAGCGTCGACCAGCACCAGCGCCCCTGTCGCTGTATGCCTGGCATTCCAAAGAGCAATGATCAAAACCGTCAAGACCTAGCATTCCATGAGCAAAAATCAGCCATCGAATGGGCCTCTGAGGTTGGACGATCTCTCCCTCGAGAAGGGCAAGAGTTCAGTGCTTGCGATGCAGAACGCCGAGGGCCCAGCATCCGAGGAGCGCTCCTCTCGCGTGTTTACGAGTAGCAAAGAAGCTTACTTGGGGCTATCTTAGAAGCTTCTAGTTACCAAGAAGCTTGCTTGGCTGTCTTAGAAGCTTCTAGTTGGTAGTTACTAAGAAGCTGTCTAGGCGGTTTGGAACTTCTAGTTACGAAAAAGCATTCTAGACTTTCTTCGGAGCTTCTAGTTACTAAAAAAGGTTTCTAGACACTTTTTGAAGTTTCTAGTTCCTAGAAAGCTTTCTAGACTGTCTTTGAAGCTTCTAGTTACTAAAAAGCGTTCTAGACTGTTTTTGGAGCTTCTAGTTTCTAAAAAGCTTTCCAGACTGTCTTTGAAGCTTCCAGTTATTAAGAAGCGTTCTAGACTGTCCTAGAAGCTTCTAGTTCCTAAACCGCTTTCTCGACTGTCTTTGAAACTTACCAGTTACTAAAAAGCTTTCTGGACTGTCTTTGAAGCTTCTAGTTGCTTAAAAAAGTCTAGACTTTCTTTGAAGCTTCTACTTATTCAAAAAAGTTTCTAGACTGTCTTTGAAGCTTACTAGTGGGGCTTTCACCTGGGTGGCACCGTGGCACTGGACTCTCTCAGCGCTTTGTGCAAGGTGTACTATGCCGGCATGCGCCCCCTGGGCTCGCTGGGCGCTCAGAAACTCCTAAACCCTAAACCCTAAACCCTAAACCCTAAACCCTAAACCCTAAACCCTAAACCCTAAACCCTAAACCCTAAACCCTAAACCCTAACCCTAAACTCGGGAAGCCCAGTGCCCCAGATGGCCGGAGTTCTGGAAGCCACAGGCAGGAGGAAAGCGGAAAGCTGAAACCCTCAACCCTCAACCCTAAACCCTAAACCCTAAACTGATCTCTGTTCTTTTTTGAGGCCGATGCGGGTCTCGGTGGTCTCCAGGCGAAGTTGGCAGTGCGACATGATTTTATCCATGAAAGTGACACGACGTTTTCACGCAGTTCGTCTTGACATCATGGCAGTTCGGTTTGAAAGCCGAAACAACAAGGCACTTTATGGCCACAGTTTCTTCCCAGCGAGAAAGACTAGACTTGCAGAAGACATTCAGTAAGAAAGCAGGGAAACGGCATGGCGACAGAATGGAACCAATGAAATCTATGACACCTCACAGCTCACTGCGGCCTGGGGCTATTTGACAAAGGCATGCCGAAAAAGCACCTGCTGCCCAAAAAGGGGGTTCGAAGCTGGTCTTTGTACAGATCCCACCTCCAAACCTCTAAAAAAGCCTTGGAAGAAGCTGCAGGCTGCCTAGGAGCACAAGGGCCAAATTGTTCCTTTGCAGAGCTTTGCCAAGTGAAGGCCTTTGCCCTCGCCAATCTCTACAGGATTTACGCCAACCGGGTCGGTGACCCAAGAGATTCGTCCACTCAATGACTCCTAGGTCCGTGTAGAGCTGCTCCAACTCCAATGGTTCCAGGGCGACGACTTCTGTAGCGACCTCTGTGGCTATGGCGGCCATCTCGACTCCGAAGACAGGAACAGCTCAGGATCCTGGCGGCAGTGGACAGCATCCCGCTTTGTATCTTTGAGCTCTTTGTGGACAGTTTGGAGAGTGTGCTGTCATCAGCGAAATGAGGTTCCATCGTTGGCCAGCCCGGCAAGGGTGCGCTTTCTTCTTCACCTGCACACCTGTTCCAATCGTATTTGCTCGTTTGTTTTCCCTTGTCAGGTGACCACACACTTTCCCACGTCGTTGGCCAGCCCCGCAAGGGTGCGCTTTCGTCTTCACCACACCTGTTCCAATCGTATTTGCTCGTTTTCCCTTTGTCAGGTGACCGCACACTTCACCCGCAGTCCCACTGGTGGCCTGATGTGGCCTGGAACTTGAGAATCACACTGGCCTTTTTCGGTTTTTGTGAATGTTGAGACAGTTGGTCGGTTCCTTCTCCTTCAGGCCTGGCTCTCCCACTATGTTGGGCTCCTAGTCCAGATGACCTCAAGCAACTTGCTCCGATGATCTGATGCATGAAACATCAAGGGTGTCACCCACCGGGAAACCGTCTACGCCGGCCTGACCCTGATGCAACAGACAGGAACAGAACTTTGAGATGGAGCATGTGTTTATTAGATGGAAGCAGCATGTGGGCAAGACGCAGCCCCCCATGTCCTTGGATTCACACGTCCACCAGGGATCCTGGATGATTCTGGCATTCATGGCCGGACATGTTGCCCCTTTTCCCCTAAACCCTAAACCCTAAACCCTTGGTGCTGAGGTACCCATCGACCGCTCGACCCTGCTGCAGGCCAGGCAGGTGGCCGTCCGCATGGACCAGGGTCCACCCGGCTTGGCCATGTCGGAAGCCCAGGGACGAATAGAGCTGTACAGTAGGGACCCAAAAATGACATAAGCATAAAGCATATTTTATAGGGATATCCCTACCTTATTGGGCTTCATTATAAGGGGGTTTATGTGGGATATCCCTATCCTGATTTTTGCTTATGTGCTGTTGTGGGGCCCTAGTACAGGTGCTGTACCTGGCCCGGCCAGGTGTCACAGGTGTTCTGATTTTTGGGAGTCGCACCCCTCTATCTACCTGGCTGCTCTTCATAGGTGTTCTGTTGTTGGTTGTTGGTGTTCCCATCCTTCTGAGAGCATTGTTGCTGTGAGGTGGGCACCAACACCGACCACGAAGGCAGACCAAAGCAGACGCTCATGTGGCTAGGTGATGCTATGTGTGATAGGAGAATAGCAGCAATAGCAGCATACTCTTGGACGACCAAGATTTTGGAACCTGCAGGCCAACCTCTTGGGTTTCCGCTATCCTGAGCCAGGCTTGGGGAGTTCACATAAGGAAGCAGTGTCAGGACACTTTCTTCCCACTGACGAATGCCCCCAGGATACATGGCAGTTGCACCGCGAACGCCGGGAGCATGAGGGATTTGTGCAGGATGTTATTGTGCAGCAGGCTATGAAGCCCACTGTCTTGAACTCTCACAGGATCTGCCCCAGTAGCTGCGGCGAACTCTTTTGCTGAATAATTTCTGCTTTTTTGCCTGGAAGGTCAGTGAAAAGAAGACCTTGTTGTCACTTGTTGTTACTTACTTCCCCAGGCATGAAGTTGTTTGCCTTCCAAGTACTGCATGGAGGTGTAAATTGCACCTGACTCTACAACACTTGCCAAGTTTCGCGTGCCTCTCAGAAATGCCCCAATGGAATGCCAACAGACGATCTGGGCACTCGAAACGAACGAGAGGCACGCCCCCGCTGAAAATTCAAGATGGCCAGACGCAACTGCGTGGATTGGATAGCGCAGTCCCAAGTTTTGTTTGGGCCGTTGCGCCATTATTATTCGGCCATTTAACGGCCAATTGCGGTCTTGAAGAAACATCATCAAAAGAACTTGATTTTCAACTGAAACCTGTCACAGATCGTCACATGGTCTCACTGAAGTCTTAGACGGCTGCTTGTCCGGGGCCAATTGTGCTCGAGGGACGGCACGGCGCACGGCGCACGGCTGCGTAACTTTGGCCAGATGATGCCAGATGCATGCCATTATTGCCTTATGAATTCTATCGTAGTTATGGGACGCAAAGTCTGCTGCCCTCCCATATACACATGTGGGCAATCAAGGAAAGCGCGACTGGTCCACGAAAAACGGGGAAGTGCGCTCGGACTGCAAGTTTCAGAAACTTAGGACTATTTCGGACCTTCGGATCTAAGCAGCCCGCTAAAAGGTGGCAAATGGCCAATTCTTGAGTAGAGTGAAGGCAGGGCTTTCTCATTTGAGGTCTATAAAACCCTTGAGACTCTAGACTCTCGATGTGTCCGACAAAATTGTTCACAGGGCGAGAGTAACGGGTAGCCAAGATAGCACTTGCGGCAGACATTGACTCGGTAGAGGTTTGGCATGAGATTCCTTTCCGGCTTTGGTTTTGTCATGTTCCCAATTTCAGTGCACAGTGTGAGGCTGCAGCTCGAGACCCGCATTTGATTTACTGTATTGAGTTTGTCCTTGACCTTAACTTTTTGAACGGTTTGAAATATCTTCGAGGGGTTCTGGGACGGGTGTTTGCCAGCTGCTTTGGGAACCAGTCCGTAGATGAGATGTGACGAGGGAACCCTGTTTGGCCACGTAGACTGTTTTACACCCTCCAGCACTTGACCAGATAGATTCCGATCCTGCGAATCCGATCCGAACAACACCCTGTCAAAGAAGGCAGAGGGAGGTGGTTATGGCGTACTCCTACCCTCTCATGAGAGGGTAAAATTTGCGGAACAAGCAGATAACAGCGCTCAACATGCAGCAACGTTTTTTGCTTCCATCAAACCGATACCAACTCCATCCCAACATTCGTTGTCGTGCATTTTATTCGCAAGACTCTTTTTGCCCAACAGACCCGACAGGGCGGCAGTGGGCAACTGGTAGTATCTAAGCAGCTGGTTTCCTTGCAAACTCTTGGTCAAAGCTGCTGGCCCTCATGAAGACTTGACGGGCAGAGTGTGTTCCGCTTGCCCCAAAATGTTGCAGAGTATTTAATTTTTGGGGGTAGGTGGGGGGGGGGGGGTGCGGAAGGGGTTATATGAAAAAACGGGCACAGCAGGCCATCATGGGCCCTTGCAGAGTCCAGTGTCCAGTGCTCAACTGGCAAGGGACCACGGGCCTGGCCCTAGGATGAGCGCATTGCGGACGCCACAGATGCGTGCATCCAACTTCCGTACCGCCGTACTCTGTCCTTGGACGGCCACGAAAAAATCGCGGCCCTGCCAGCAAAGACTGCATGGCTGCTGCTGCTGCTTGTTTGTTGCACACTGAGAATTGCAAGGCCTGGGCTCAAGCAGGCCGCGCTTGGCACTTTCAAAGATTGGAAGTGCCACTGAAGTGCCTGCCTGAAGCCCTGAATCTGACATGTCTTGATCGACATACTGTGGGTACTCTACGCCTTGCGAGGACGAGATGAAACAAACGAAGAAGAGTTGCGGGACATGAAACAGCTGTCGCAAGCACCCACCTATATTTAGACCAACTCCAGTCGACTGGGAGGGGCCTTCGGGCGCCTGTCCGTTTCACAAAGGCGGGTGTCGGTCTCATCCGCAAGCTACATGAAGCAACGATACCTGATGCCAAAATGAGTTCAGGACGGGCTGCCATGCCAGAAGGCACAAAGTTACTTGTTCCCTGACGCAGGCAAACGCAGATTGCATGAAATCCGTGCGGCCTGCGCCACCTGGCCTGGGTAGCCGAGTAGGCCTCTGCGCTTGGGGTCCACAGTGCCCACCTAGTGCCCACTTGGTGCCCACCTAGTGCCCACCTAGCCGACCTAGCCTTTCAAGTGCTGCACTGCATATAGATCTTCCTGGAAATACGGAAAATAATATGGTCTGTTTCGCACTAAAGAGCCTCGCCGTCTCCAAGCTGAGGCTCCATGTTGGCAGCACCTCCTCCGGCTCCTCCGTCATTTCCACTGCCGCCACCTCCCGCTGCACCTACCGCACCAGCCCCAAGCCCTTTGCCGCCTCCCTCCGTGGCAGCCCCCGCAGCTCCGGCAGCCCCAGCGCCGGCACCACCGGTAGCCCCAGTGCAGCCCCCGCAGTTTCCACCAGCTCCTGTTCAACCTCCTCAGGAGACTCGGCCGGAACTGTCGAGCTGAGAAGCGTAGCATCGTAACATTGGCAGTTTTTCTTAGTTGCCGTGCCTCCGTGGAGAGGGGCCACTGCATTGGCGATTTAGCTGCCATAGGCACAGCGAAAGCCTCATGGCTTTCATTTTTTGCAATGCAACAGGTTTGGCTCAGGGAGCTATATGGGACAGTGCAAATCCAGCCAGACAGAACAGCCAACAAACGTTAGCCGGAGCTCCGCCATTTTGATCCCAGTAGATGCCCTGGCCAGCCGCTCTGATGGCGCGCAGATTCTCGTTGCCAGCAACGTTCAGTCCCACAGTGGACGATCCCGCAGTCAGAGCTACCACATTATACATGCATCTCTTCTGCACTCGGGGGGCAGAAATCACATCCGCGGGTTGCGCGCAGGCTGATGTGTCCAGCACGTGCCTGCTAAGGGCATGCAGTGTTGGCATGGTTGTCGCGAACAAGGACGCTCGGGGCGACGTCCTTGCATCAAGCTGCATAGACTTCTTTGAGTCACGCTGTGGGCTCATCAGCAAGGTTGCCGATAGCAATGCATCTCTGCGAGCCCTGTGAAACGTTGCCTCTGCTTGTCCCAGGAAGCAGCCACACGGCTTCAGGCTGGAACTATCCTATTGGCAATGCAGCAAATTGCAACGATCCTGGTGGCTTGCGCTGCCCGCCACGAATATGATGCAAAGCTGCGCTGACTTGGGAACCTGGTTCTCACATGTGCCTGGTCGCCGACGCAGCCATGTCTTCTGAATGTCAGGTTCTCCACATACTCGGCACCAAGGAGATCCGTGGCAACATGCAGCTTTGGCCGTGTGAGAGAGTCAAGAGAGGGCCTCTGCTGGAGCCACCACTGACATAACTTCCTCACAACTGAATCTTGCCTTGAGGCATGAGGTGATTCGGTGGTCGCCTATCGCCGTCCTTTCAGGCGTGATCCTCTGGACGGGCATGCAGGCATTGTGCCCTGGCTACCGAATGTGGCATGCTTCTGGCCTGTTTTTTTGGGTGGGTGGTAGGATTGTAGCTTGCGCAAGGAGGGGTGGCTGCATGGAGCTTTTGCGTTTTCAAAAGCCGTGGCTCTTTCTCGCCGCGTTTGTGGGAGTCACAAGACAACATGATGTCACATGACTGGAGTAAGGATGTACGCATCTCTCTCCACTTTGACAGTCATCCGGAACGCCAGCCCTCTCATTCTTTTGGGAGCAGAGCGGCTGATGTTCGGCGTCCCGATCACGAAGGATGCCATCATATCCTTGACCACGATCTTGATAGGCGCGCCCTCTTGTGCAAACGCATGGCAGGGTTGGCCAGGCAACGGAAACCATGGAAACCCGAGAGCAGCATGAATCCGTGAGGCGTCGTGGTCTACTGTTCAGATGACATCTCCACGAAGGACCGATGATGTACAGAAATGGCCTAGACTCAATACCAGAAACTCAAAAACCGCCTCTGTTGAAAGCTTCTCGGGGGATCTCCGGGGGAAGACTACTGTATTTGGTGTGCAGACACCCCCACCCTAAACCCGGAAGTGTATTTGAGGTTTGAGTTTGGGAGGTTTCACTACTTCGTTGTTCTTGCTGTTGTTCAACTAACTGAGGCCCCCATGAACCCGCAGTCAGAGCTTCCCGGAATGTCCTATCTTCAAGCCATCAGGCAACCTCTTCGACATAGTGCTGGAAGGGCTTTCTCCAAAGTTGTCGTACAGCGGACCCCGCATTGCTGTGGCTAGTCGGGTGGCGAAAAAAACCTAAACCCTAAACCCTAACGGAGCACTGCGGACTGCTAGCAGAGAGCGCGTGCCAAAACCCTAAACCCTAGCTTGAGAGGAAGCCCTGGGTATCTTCCTGGTGGTTTTGGATGCTGCCTTCGTGTGCTTGGACCGCTTGGCGCAGCGCTACCTTCTCCAGGACTGTGCCTCTGGGCGTTTAGGGTTTAGGGTTTAGGGTTTAGGGCCTCTCCGTTGAGGGCCTAGTAGTCGAACAGTAGATGCGGAGCCGTGGAGTTCGTCCGTGTTGCCAGGAGATGCCCGTGTCCCTTTCCTCCTCGGTGCCATTGCTGCAAATGCGGAAGCACTGGTGTCATGAACATCCAAGAGGATCAAAACTGCACCCTGCAAGCCAGCACTGCCTGAACCCTGACTTCGCCATCTCTCTCATAACATAGGGTCACACAAGAGCTGTCTTTAGGCGCACCTGACATGTAGCATCTCTGAGAAGTGGCAACCCCTCCCCCCAAGCGCTTGAGCTGCAGAAACCTTCAACAGCAGAGGCTCTCGTCCTTGTCTCCAATGCCGTGGGCCTGCTTTTCTCGTTTGCGCTGCTCTTCTACCCTATGCACACCGAGCTCCATGAGGCAGAAGGGAAGTGGAGCCACTTAAAGAATGAACAGAAATTCGTACACGCAGTTGGCTGCTGCTGGGAGCCCGGCAGCAATTGCAATTGTCCAAGTTTTTGGGGTCCAAAGCGGGAGCCGCCTCGCCAGTAGGAACGGGTTCCGCCGCGCAATGCCCTGCCCTCGCGCACGCAACCCAAAACCTCTATGGAGTTGCCATGGCTTCCGGCGGAGCTCTCGGCTGCAGGGTTCCGTGTGGTGTGGCAGTTGATGCCCTGAGGCCTCGGGCCTCGGCGGATTTATGGCCTCTATCCCTCTATCCCCTCTCTACCTCTCCCCCACTTGCCCCCCTCCCAAGCCTTGCAACACCTGCCCCTACTTGGCGGCAAGCACTTCTTAGCTCAACAGGTTCAGGTTTTCAGCCCCTCCACTTCTCAAAGTCGGTGTTAATTCACGCCAGTCTCGGGAGGTCGAATGGACACCGGCAGGAATCTCTTGGTCAATCGCCTCTTGCATTGGAGGTCGCCTGTCATGCTTCTCTCTGGGCAAGTGAAGGGGTCTTACAAAGTTCATGGGTTCGGAACTGAGCACAGGGGCTAAGTAGTGTGATTTTGTCAGCTGACCTGGCAGGAGCTGCCATTGCCTATGCAGGCATCGGCTTGTCGCGCAATCTTAGCGCGACGGCTGCTCTAGTCGTCACAAACATTGATCCTTGGATACTAGCTTCGGCCTCCAAAGCAAAGTGTGCGGGTTTTGTGCTGGGCTGTGCCATCATGGAGCAAGCCGAGGACAAAGTGCTAGTGCTTTGTTACGGCGTGATGATGCCCCTACGCTGAATTGCTGCACTGCGTTTAGCTGCGTTCAATCAAACCCTGTTTGCTGCAGCTTTGCCCATGGTCGTTCGGCTGAGATGCCCATGACAGTGCCATGGCACGACATTGCTTCAGGTTGGGAGATCACTTTGACTCCACAAAGTTATGCGGATGCACCTTCGCTCTTGTCGGAGGCCAGCTTCCGGGGAACCCGTGTGTTTTGCCGTAGTATCCTTCTTGCTGCAGTAGCGCTCGCAGTAGGGCCCCCTCAATCAAGCCAGTAAGTGAGTGAGACGTCGTCCCCGCCACGACAAGAAACACACAACTGTCCCATCACGACACAAACGTAAAGCACCCTAAACCCTAAATCCCGTCAACCCCGGCTTTAGACAGCATCGTGCCATCATGCGGAGTTGCTTGACAAAGGCATTCGGATCTTGTTTGTTTGCAGCGTCGTTGTGTTTGCAAATGGGGGCCTGCGGGGCCCCAGCCCCTCTACTTTTTCATGACGTGCGAGCTTGCGCGACCATCTCGTACGAACTTTGTCAAAAACGCGTGACTTCTCACATGAACGACGTCTCCATGCCCACAAATCACGGCTTCCCAGGGGCAAAACAGATCGCACCCCGCCACGACAGTAAACAAGAGCTCCTGCCCCGGCGCAACATGCTGAGTGCGGAGCCATCTCAAAGATGCCACACAAGTTTTTTATTAAATGTTACTATTCGTATGTTTTATGTTAATATATTAGAAACTGGGTATCGTGTTTCTTCTGTTTTTTGGCTATTCTGTTCTTACAGCGATATTTTGTACATGATGATGGTATGATTGTATTACTGTATTAGTATATTCAGTTCCGCAGACATTGCGTCCTCTTCAAGATAGACGGTTTAGGTTTAGGGTCTAGGGTTTAGGGTGCAGGCACCTGGCACGCGTGGGGACGATTGCGAGCCGGGGAGGAGAAGAAGCAAGAATTGAAGACAGCACCTTGCCAGCAGTTTTTCACGAGCACAGCAAGTTGGAGTCGAGAAGTTACACCGAAACGGTGGCCAAGGACACTTTGAGCCAAGAGCTTTCTCCAGCCGGCGAAGACTCTCAACTGCAGGATGTGCCACATTCCAAATGCTACCCACCCCTTCGTTGGCCTTCTTCTGCAAATGTTTCTGACCTTTGCAGTCCAAGCCTCGAGCTTTCAAGAGTTTGCAGTTGCCGTGCTTTGCCATCCTTGCCTGCGCATCCAGGAAATGAACAGCTTCTGCTGATCTGCGAAGGCTCAGTCTTCTTTACTGCAACATACACTGATTTTTTGCAATCGGCGTTCACGTCTTCAGCGCCTGCACAGGGCCTATTGGATCAAGTTACAACCAAGTTTGCTTGGCATTGTGTCAGGGTACGAAAATTCGCAGATAAAGCACGGTGTCGGGGCGATGTGTGCTTCAAGGGCCCTGAGCATGAACTGTTGACCGCTCTCCAGGTGAGAAAGCTGTAGCCTTCCTGTATCCCTCCAGCAGTGCAGAGCCGGAGAGATCTCTGTTATTGATTATGGATTGAGGCACCATTTGTTGCCATTCAAAGTCGTAGCTCAAACGACTCTTTTTTCCCTTGTTGGAAAAGAGCGTGTTGCTATGCTTTTTTGTCGGCCGGCCATTCAGTGGTTGTGTTCATTGTGTATTCTTGGGGCAATGAGAGGTCGAATTGACTGAGTGCGCCGACCTGCCGATGCGTCGAATGAAATTCATTTTTGCAGCCACAGTCGTGATGTATTTCAAAGCCGACAAGGCTTCCTCCTGAGCTCCTGAGGACTTCATGTGAAGGAAAGAGATGATGACCTTCACAAAGCGTCATGAAGTCTTGTAGGCACGCTTTGCCAAGATTGAGCCCTCGTGATTCCTCTCTGTACCACAGTGCACCCGGGAATCGGAGAGACTCAAACCCGGTGCTCAATTTAGACTCGCAAAACATCAGGTTTTTGAAAATTTCGAGTCGCCAGGTTGAGGCTAGGCTGGCCAGAGGAGCGCGGAATTCACTGGTACAGCAGCTGCCGCTGCGATCTGTAGGTTTGATGTTCTGCCCTCCCCCAAAATAGACCGGGCAAGCGGAGGCAGCTTCAGCACATGGCTGAGTTAGAGCTTAGCGGCTTAGCGTAGCGCACGTGGAGTCTTCGTGTTCTGAGCCGGGTTGCAAAGGCATCGGAAGTAAGATCGGAATAGCATCTGATTCGACGTTGCGCGTGCAGTCAATGTTGGTTCCGCCGGGGTCAGCGCCTAAATCCCCTAGCTGACGGCATCTGCAACCTCACGGTTCGCACAGAGGCCTGCCCCGGCAATGAGTGGCACAAGATGACAGATGGCGACAGTGTAAATACTCCAAGCTTTGACTCCCACCCTGTTGTGGGCAGCCAACTTGTTCTTTTCTGGCATCACTTGGTGGCTTGAGTTAGCCTATCCCCATGATGTGTTCCCGCTTGATCATGCAAGCCAGATGCCGTGGACACTGAAAGCAATCGGTCAAGGATGTGAGCAGCGTGAAGACCTCTCGTCACATCCCAAAATGGTCACAGGACTTCTGCTGCCAGGGCAGACTCCAGGGGCATGAGGGAGTTGCTCAAAGTTCGCTCAAAGTTCCTGAATAATGTGAGGCACGAGTCAAGAGAGGACTTTATTGCTGTTGGAAGCGCCCTCTCCCCCCGTCATCTTTAGTGTTTTAGTGTGATTGTACAAAGTGGCCAGAGTTTAGGGGCCGGCCGAGGCCGGGCTTTTCACTCTAGCAGTCCACGGCTTGAATCGATGCCATCTTACAGACGTAGACTTCGACGGTTTGACGTCGCGGAATGTCGCGTATTGAAATGGTATGGGCATGCAGGGGTGGTGGATGATGGACATACATATATACATATATGTATATATGTGTGTGTATATTATATATATATATATATATATATATATATATGTATACTATGTATACTATATATATATATATATACTATATATATATATATATATATATCATATACTATATAGTATATATATACTATATATACTATATATTCTATATATACTATATATTCTACATATACTATATACATTTATATATATATGTATATATGGTTCACCGCTTGTCTACTACCCGGCAACGACATGAGACATGCAGTCCAGCTCGGCCAAGGATCCTTATCGCGCAGCGTTGCAGAGAAAGCTGGCAGATGCCCAGTGCCCAGCTACAGGGGGGTGGGGTTTAGGGTTTGGGGTTTAGGGTTGAGGGTTTAATCCGAGCACCTGTTTAATTCATACCTCCACATTTAAGAGTTTTTTTTCGTCGAGAAGCCCGCCGGAAGACTACTTTCCATTACGGGGGTTTTCGTATGGGCCAATGCCACCACATTTACGGGTTTTTTCGAGGGGGGGGGGGGGGGGGAATCTGTCGGCTTTCGTGTTTTTCTTTGTGAGCTGCAGTTTGCTTCGGTGAAACTACACATCTTAAAAGTAAAAGTTTTAAAGAAGCTGAAGCTTTATTTTTCTAGAAGCTGAGGCCCTTCGGAAAGCTAGGATTTCTTATGTGATTGCTTACTGGAGGAGAGAAGTTTTCATTCTTTCCTGAGCTACCCCTTATGGGCTTTGGCCGGCAAAGACAGCATCATATTTGTGAAAAGGGGCCCTATTGTTTTCAATACATTGCCATGGTCTTATTATTGCGGCGCCCTGCCTTTCTTATTGCGGTGGGGGAGGGGGGGGGGGGCAATTAAAGGTGCTCGGATGAGGGCTTAAGGTTTAGGTTTTGGTATAATTTTTGAAGTCCCCATTGGCGGCTATTTTAGCGCTTATGCACTTCTTTTGACAGCCTTGACCCCAAACAGTGAGAGACCGTGGGGACGCGAAAGAGCACTATAATGGTCCAAGAGCACGTCCAAAGCACGCTGAGACCACTCCAAGCGCTCCAGCATGCGGCACTGGGAAGATCATCCCCCAAGAGCAGTCCCCGAGCACCGCCAGAGCTCACCATGCTCACCCAGAAGACTTCAAGAACTACGCTTCCTGGGGAGCAGTCAGCGCGGCAGCACGAAAACGGCTGCGACTTGCAGCCGATAGGCGGATGCCGGATTACATCAGGAAGAGCAATTTCGCATCTCGCCAGCCCAGAAGTCCAAGAGTGACAACCGTTTAAGTTCGCGAGCCCCGACATGCAAAAAACGACGACAGGTTTGAACTGCGTGAGCCCAGGAGTCCAAGAGTGACGACAGCTTTGGGACGGCGAGGGTGGCCACGCGTAGGTGAGACAGCGATTTTCGTCAACAATGGCAGCAGGTCGCGAGAAGAAGACACGGCCCGCAGCAGAACTGCCGTGCGGTTCCATCGGTCCATCGATCGAGCGCCCGTGATGACGCGCTTTGTTTTTGGCCGCTGCAATGGCTGCAGCCATCACCAGGCGATAAAATTCACTGCACATGAGTTCGGTGTGTCTAGGCTGTTTTGTGGGACCCTAGTCCTGGACGACCCTTCATATGGGAAGGTAACGTTGGAATTATGAACAGCTTGTTGGGTGAGCCGCCAACTGTCTCACCAATTGCATCCTCCTAAACCCTGAACCCTGAGCCCTAAACCCTAAACAGATGACCCGAAAAACCGAGGAGATCATCCAGCGACTCGCCACCTCCTTGCGTCGAGGCGCGGCTTGCGGCTTCAGCCTTTCGCTAGGCCTCGTTCCCTTTTTTGGGGTTTGAGGGTCTCTTATAAACCGCTGCAAGCCAAAAGGGTACCTTTGGCATAGGATCCGATGACAGATTGAAGCAAGCAGGCGCAAGCGATCTGGACTGGCAAGGACAACGAATAAAGAATCCGCGAAACCGAGAAAGCAGGGAGCACTCTTGAGAAGGACTTCTAAGTCATCTCTCTCGAAACACACACATAGCACGCTGGGAAGCAGCGCCATGAACTGCGGCAAGATTTGAGAAGAGCGCCTACACATGCTGCACGCCGGGGGAGCATCTACATAAGCCTGTCCCAGCTGCACAATCAAAGAGCCAAAGTTACGATAAAGCGGTCTCGCTCGACTCAACAAACACCATTCTTTGGAGGCGGCTATCGCCCTCAGGACCTATTCAGCCTCAGACTCAGTGTCGCCAAGGCTTCAAAGTTGTTTCCAAAGGGGGGGGGGGGGGGGGGGGGAGGGGGGGGAACGTTCAAACCTCAAAAAATGCGTTTCCGGGGCCAGGGCTCAAGGTTGACAGGAGATGTGGTTGCGGGAGATGTTGATGTCTTAGGGATGAGAACCGGTGCTTAAGACCTCATCCCATAGCCCAGTGTCCAGTTTCTTGTTGGGCAGTCGTTGTTGTTCTCCAGACAAGCCAAACAAGCTAGTGAGCTGTAGTGTTTGGGAATCAAAGTAAACGGAAGCTTGGTGCTGTTGCCTTCAGTCATAGCTTCTGATATGCCTGGTGGGCGTTGGGTTACTCTTGCAGCAGCTCAGGCAAGCTAGATGCAGATGGCAGTGGCCAGCTGTCCCGGCAGGAGCCCCCTGCTGAGTCAAATGGTGGGTTTAGGGTTTAGGGTTTAGGGTTTAGGGTTTAGGGTTTAGGGTTTAGGGTTTAGGGGGTTTAGGGTTTAGGCGGTTTAGGGTTTAGGGTTGGGAGCCAGGGGCTGCACAGCCATGCAACAAGTTGCTTCTCCCCTTCTGGACCAGTCATGTCTAGCAGAAGCTAAGGTGGCCCGGTGGTACCCTTTTTTTTCCTTTTTTTTGTTCACGGTTCCCTTATAAAGTAACCAAAAAAGGGTTACTGGGCTGCCAGGGCTAGCAGCTAGCATGCAGTGAAAAATCTTGCTGTGCAGCTCGCTCGGCACTCCAACGCTCAGGCTGCTAAGCATCATCCTCCGGTTCGAGTCAGGCTGGTGGGATCTTGCTGCAAGGGGCGAATAATCGAGGAAGAATATTCCCTTAAGGTCCCTATACACTCATACGAAAAGAACCCCCCAAAACCCATTCTAATTCTTAAGGCCCCTACAGAGTGAATGAAGACTTGGATCGATGGATTGTTCAGCGTCGCCACTGGGCCCAGAATGTCAACCCTGCAAGGCCTGACGCCACAAGAGCAAGATGCAATCTTTCAGCGCTTTGATGCCGCCAGGATCCAAGCAAACGCTATGGCAGCAGTTGATATCTCACTGCAGCTGTTCTCCAAATTTGACCTATTAGGTCAACTACACGATAAAAGGGGCTTGTGGAATCTGAGAGCGCGGGCAAGAGTCCGGCTCGGCTCCTTTCTAGGGCACAAGTTGGCACGGGTTTTGGCCAGCCGGTGCCTGCCTGCTTGTAGGCTCCCCACCCCCAGATATTCCGATATTTTTGGCCTACCTTCTGAGATCGTCCTGTAGCCACGAAGCGAACCAGTTGAAGGGGTCCTCATCCTGGTTGAGGAGCAGGTGCACCCATTTAACACACCTTCCTAGCAAGGTCCATGCCTGCTTAGGACAACAGCGGCTGCGTTTCCTGGTCCGAGTTCTGGAACACAATTCAAGGTGGCGAGACGGGAGCCTCGCAAGGCTGGGTCGGACGTGTTATGGCGCGTTTTAGGGCTTAGGGGGAGTTTGTGGCTGAAGGCAGCAGCGGGCACGTACACTCACCTGACATGCGCCCAAGCACTTTTCGGTCCAGGACCCCCACAGGCATCACTCTTCCAGACGCTACCCCCGACCACTCCGGGCGCTGTGCTGGCACCGCTGCATCCAGGTCGGGTGCAGGGTGCTGGGTACATTTCATCTAGGATGTACTGCCACATCTCTGTGATGTAAGCCACGATACTGCATCCAACAAACCATGAACGTAGACATGGTCAATAGACATGCCACTGGGAAAGGCTTGTCTGCCTCCGCACCGGTGGCGCCCTCAGTGCAGGGATGGGCGAATGTTGGCAGGAGTTCTTCACTGCGGTCATGTTCAGCTGGGTTCCTGAACAGGCAGCTTAGCATTCCGGCTGCGAGAAGCTCATGCTTTCCATTTCAGGTTGCTTTCAATAAAATCCAAGTCTGGAGTTGCTGTTGAATGTTGAGGAGCACAGAAAATTTGACGTGACGGCGAGTGCCACAGAGAAACATCAACATTGGGACGAAGCATGTGCCACGCAGCGGGCAAGTTTGCAGGTGGAAGTCCCCTCGGATGCCCTAAGTCCCTACGGCGGCTACGGCTCAAGAGTTGTTTAGTTGCACTACCCACAGAGCAGTGCAGATTCAGAAAACATGGCGCGGTCAAGATCTCTTTAGTTGCGCTAACCACCTTACAGCGCAGATTTAGGATCAAGTCGCGGTAGTCTCCAACTGTCTTTACTCTTAAGCCCATGCGTCAGAGCACGTGAGCGTGTAGTTGAGTAATGATTCCGTCTAGGAATGCTTGAGCCTGGCGTAACTAACAGAGCTGCGCCAGGCTTTGTCTCACCTAATGTTACCGCGATTTCAGTGGATCGCTGAAAACGTGGCCAGCGCATTTGGAAGGGAGGATGACATCAGACGCGTTGAAGGCGTGATCCAGGAAAACCTCAACTACAAAAAGCTAACCGAGTTCCTCGAAGGCAGGACGAAGCAGCAACACATCTTCTTCTTCTACCAGCGCCCCGACACCTACAACGAGCACAATGAGCTGGTCGATGCTCACAAGGACTGCAAGCTCACCATCACCACAGGTGAAAACGAGCGAATCAAGAGCTTTGCGGTGTACTTCCTCAGGAACGTACCACAAGACCGGGCCATCAAGACGGACGTCTTCTCGGACCATGAGCTGCTTTTTGGGGAGGTGACCCCAAATCCGCTGGAAAGCCTCAGCACGACCCTCGCCACGGTCTTCCAGCCAATTGCGGCACGACAGGAAGCCAACTGGGGACAATGTGATGAAGAGCAAAAGAACCTTAGTAGCTGAGTCAGTACACTTTACACTTTTTGGGATACTATACTCTCTACAAAACTAGAAGTGTACACTTTTGGGGGGGCTTATGAACTCAGCAACTAAGGAACGACTTCCTGACAAGCTTCGAGAAGTTCACGGTGGAGCTCTCTGAATCGATCTCGGCCTTGAGCGGCGGCATTGTTCTGCAGAAGGACCTGCCTTCAGGGATCCTGCTGGACCCAGGCAGCCCTCAGTATCAGGACATGGTGAGGGAGAACCCAGAGGTCATCGGGGAGTATTCTGGGTCATTGTTGAAAATCATTTTACTTTCTTTCATGAGCACTTAAGCCCAGTAAGGAACAAAAAGGATCCTTTGTTAAAACAGTACCCCCAACCATGGTGAAGGTATGGCGCTCTGTTGGAGACATGGTGCCGAGATATCGAGCGGTACCTTGAGGACGGCTTAGACCAGCATAGTGCAGTACAAGAGCCAGGACCTCGCAGCGAGCTTGAGTTCTGGCGTGGTCGCATGCAAAAGATCACCTCAATTACGGAGCAACTGAAGGGCCGCGAGTGCAAGGCCGTTTTTAACGTCCTCCATGCCGTGACGCGGCAGGGGGGGAGTCATGGGTAGGTTTGAACATATTTTTTTTGTTTTTATTACCCTGAATCCCCCATATAGTCCTTATGAAACCATAAAAAGTTTACAGGGCCCCCAAACCTACCCCAGGAGTGATGTGGCTCCAAAGAGCCGGCAAACGGTTTTCAACACACTGCGCCGTTGGAAGCAAATCGACATCTCAATAACGGAGGCTTTCAACGAGGCGAAACATGGGTAGTTTTGAACATAATTTGTGTTCTTTTTGGTGCCCTATAATCCCCAGTCTCATCCTTATGAAGCCATAAACAGTTATCTTTTATGGGGCACCCAAACCTACCCCAGGAAAGACAATGTCAAGTATCTCACCACGCTCGAGAAGTTCATCGAGCCCCTCTACTCAGGAACCCCATCTCAGATCATCGACACGTTGCCCGCCCTTCTGAACTCGGTGACGATGATCCACACCATCGCGAGGTACTACAACACCTCGGAACGCATTACCAACTTGTTTTCCAAGATTACCAACCAGATGATCAACAACTGCAGGACCTGCATCATCGGGGATTGCGAGGACGCATCCCAACTGTGGGAGACTCATCCTCCAGACCTGATTGGCCACCTTGACGTGTGTCTGAAGCTCAATGAGTCATATCAGGAACAGTACAACCTCACAAAGAATAAGCTCATGACGCTGCCCAAGGGAAAGCAGTTCGATTTCAACGAAAGTCTGATATTCGGGCGCTTCGACCTCTTCTGCCGAAGGGTGGTCAAGCTCATCTACATGTTCAGCACCATTCACCAGTTCAACCAGCTGAAGATACACTTGAAATCGATGGATGGGATTCATCAACTGGTGGGCTCCTTCCAAAACATTGTCGACGACTTCAAGATGAAGAGTCATGACCTGCTGGACTTCCTGAACAACCGTTTTGACAGAGACTACGTCGAGTTCAACGTCCGCATCAGTGAGCTGGAAAGCGCCCTGCAGAATTTCATCAATCAGTCCTTCCAGAACATCGCGTCGATCGAGATGTCGCTGAAGCTTCTGAGCAAGTTTCAGAGCATCCTGCAACACGGCAGCCTCAAGACGGACTTAGAGTCCAAGTTCGCGGTGATCTTCCATAACTATGGCCAAGAGCTTGAGAGCTTGAAGGACCTCTATGAGAAGCACCGGGGCTCGCCGCAGATCGTCCGGAACATGCCACCGGTGGCCGGCAATATCATGTGGTCGCGCCAGCTACTACATCGGATTATGGAGCCAATGAAGAAGTTTCATCACAATCCTCTTGTCATGGCAGGAGGCAAGGAGGCCAAGCGAGTCATCAAAATCTACAACAAGATGGCGAAGACACTTGTGGAATTCGAGATTGTGTGGCATCAGGCTTGGGTGAGCTCAATCGAAACGACAAAGGCAGGCCTGAACGCCACACTCCTCATCAAACACCCAGAGGACCAGAAGTATCATGTCAACTTCGACTCGGAGATCTTGCAGTTGATCCGGGAGACCAAGTGCTTGGACCGGATGGGCCACGTAGAGATTCCGGAGAGCGCCCGGATGCTTCTCTTGCAGGAAGAGAAGTTTAAGACCTACTACAATGAGCTCAACCATCTGCTGCGAGAGTATCGGAGGGTGACGAGCCTGGTCAAACCCATCACCGCAAACCTCCTGAAGCCACATCTGGATCATCTGGAGTTCCAGCTGAGGCCGGGAATGGTCCAATTGACTTGGACCTCAATGAATATAGATGGGTACCTGAAGTCAGTTTGGGATTCTCTGGATGAGCTGGAGCAGCTCATTGCAGGGGTCAACGACATCATGGACAGCCGGGTCGACACCAACCTCCGTCTTGTATCGCGTGTCTTACTGGCCGACCTACCTGAGGACAACAGGTTGGTAAGCCTGGATGACTTCGTTGACATTCAGGAGAGGCATGTTCGACAGACGACGGAGTGGCTGGTGGCAAAGAACCAAGAGATCGAGGCTGCGGTCAATGATATGTTGGGCACGATTGTTGCGTTTCCGCTGGATTCACACGTCCGCGGCATCTCAGAAAGTGAGATCATCAAGGTGAAGGCGCACTACAACTGGAGCATGTACCAGGCGCTGCTGACAGCGACGAAGCGGTCTCTGCACAAGGTGGGACTGGGTAGCTAAGTAGATCACCTTTCACCTTTTGGGGTACATAACGGTATGTACTATATACATCTATATACAATCCTACCACAATCAAAGCGGTTCACCTTTTTTTAAACCCTAAACCCTAAACCCTAAACCCTAAACCCTGAACCCTTTTGGGGTATTCAGCAACGAGGTGAAAGAGCGCCTCTCGGCTCGTCCCTTGGAAGATGGCTCCGCCCCGCCCGCGTTCTTCGAAGTGGAGCTGCAGTTGGATGGACTTGGGGTGTGCCTGCAGCCATCCATGGATGCTTAGCAAGGCTTAGTAGTAGAGTAGGTAGCCTTTGACCGTTTGGGTATTAGAATCCCTATATAGTAGAGTTGGTCACCTTTTAACCCTCTTTTGGGGGGGGATTCTGAAGGAGAAATTCCTGTGTGACTCCAAGTTGCTAACCTTTTGGTTCCCCTAGGATGCTGGACAACTCAGGATGACATTCAGAGTGCCGTCAACGGTGGCGCCGTCGCCCTCCTAAAGTGCTCCAAGATGATCGAGGCTTGGGACACCGTGACGATCCCCAAGAACGTGCAGCTTCTACTCAATCCCAACCTTCCACCCGTTCGTGGCACAGGGTCACAAGGAACCTTCTACGACAGAGTCGCTCAAGACAAGGAGATCCTGAAGGTAGTCTTGCTTCTAACCGGCAGCATACAGAGTGCCCGGGATGGAAAGAACAAATACCTCCGGCAGTTTGAACGCTGGAGCTGGCTGTGGAACTGCGACATTGATGAAGAGTACCAGAAGTTTCATGCCTCCGACCCAACCTTGGATGAGTTTGAGGCCAAGCTGCGCTCCTTTGCTCGGTTGGATGATGAGTTTCAGCTGATGGAGCCTCGGAGGCAGATCTCGGCACTGTCGCTTCAAGCCGGAAGCCTGGCACGGAGTTTGCGAGACCTGGCTGGACGCTGGAAGGAGTCTTTCGCACGTGAGCTCCACACTCAGGCATTCCAGCGGCTTGAAGGTTTGAGTGAAGTCATCAAGTCCACCATGAAGAAGCTGAGCCGAGAGGTGGCGGATGGTGACATCGATGCGCTGGGCCATGTGATGCGAACCTTGCGGGAGGTGCGGGAGAAGCAGGGCGAGATCGAACTGGAGTTGGAACCAGTGGCGCAGATGTATGCCATGTTGGACTCGTACCTTCCAAACATTCTTGACAAAGAAGAACAGGACGCGCGCAGCATGCTGCAATCAAGTTGGACGAGGCTCTTGGCGGAGAGTGAGACACG